AGTTGTTGGTTATCAATTCACCATTGGTCGAGTCCTCTGAAAATATATTCCGACATTTACATCATCGTCTGAGATTTATTGAGTATAAAAATCTAACGTTTTTCATTCTAAAACAGTGAAGTAATGAGGAGTCGCACAATTCACAAATGTAACTGAGTTAATGTCATGAATTAAGTTCGTTCCATATTCTGTTCAATAGATAGTTGATTATATAATTAAATCTCAATGAATGAAATTACAATTCATCCTCTTAGTAAGCACTCCATTGTTTACAATCTTTTTTCCCATATCAACAATAACAAACTCTTGTTACAATTATCTAGTTTTATGCTACATGGTATGAGCACACATTTGTGTAATTACCAAGTCAAAATGTAGTGCAAATTTAATTTACAATGACAAACCATGACCCCTTCAACTTAAACTCTAGCGCTAACTACATAAATATCGACAAACCATGACCACTTCACAGATATTTTCCCTTTTGTTTCCCATTCTTTTCCTATCTCTTTTTTCCTTGTAAATATTTATTTTGAGAGATATCTACATGTCCTCTTGTTTGGATATTTGATCAAATTTTTTGAATATTCAAGACAAATCTTCAATTGGATCTTTAGGCATAGATTTACCTAAATAAACACATTTTGATTCACGTTCTTTGTAAACACCACTAGACTAACCTTCAAATTGCAAGCATTTTTCAACGCCAGATGAGACATCACTCCACTTGAAATACCCACAATTGCTACTACAACAGAAGAATCACCGCCATATGTTTGGAGTCTTCTTTTCAACCTCCCATCAATTTCACAAAGCTCTCGGCCCATCTTGAGCCTCATTTCTTTGTTGGGTATTCTGACAATGGTGCTTGAACTTTCTACAATTATGACAAAAGCCCTTGTTCTTTCCTGTCATTGAAAACTACTACTATGTCAGCCACAAAAAAACTGTAAAACACTAAATCAAGAGTTAATACAGTGTAAGTAGAGTTGCAAGGTTCTGGATTGGAACATAGTAGTCAAAATTAGAATTCTCAAAGAAAAAACTAGAGGTTAATCTTCTGTTAAACACATTTGCACAAGGATTCTACATTTCAGGGCCTTTTCAAACATAAAAGCAAACTATGATTAACATTGCTAATACCCAAAAACAAATTTTGTACACTTTACAAAATCAATAAATTTTCAGTTTTTATTCATTAACAACATTCTTAGAGTCTACGCATATACCTTCTTAAATAATGTGCCAACGGAGAAGATGAACAACCTCCACTTCTTCAGATAGCCGCAACTTCACGTTCGGATTTGGGGTCGAGATTTGGTGCTTAGGGTTCATCTTGTTGATTTTAAACACCAAAATTTAAAAAAAAAATTATTGATATAAATCACTTTTACAATTAGGACAAACACTGGTATATAACTTACTTTTAGAATTTCGACAAAACACACCACTATCCACTAACTTCGCTCTAATATTATATTGGCAACACCCACTTATTTCTCCCTCACAGCACTGTCTTATCACCTTCTCTCTTTTCACACAAACACACACACACACGTATATAGGTACTTATGGATGTGGAATTAAGACTTAACTCTATATTAATCCTCAAATGGCGGTACTTCAAATTTTGGTAGCAACAGTCTCAAGAACACTCTAGTATGTTGGCAAATATATGAAGTCATCCAGATTTTTAGCATATATATGATGTAAGTGTTATACCCTATGTCCAATCAATCTTGGATATAAATACTTTTAATATATAATTAATATAATTTAATGACAGATCTATTATTTAATTAATAAACAATTAAATTAAATAATAGGGTCTGAAGATTCAAATTTTCGTAATTTGTTAATCACAAGGGGTTGTGATTATGAGATACAAATTACATATGATTGAATCTCAAATCGTCTATGGTTGTAAGTAATAACGAGATACGGATATCGTTATCACGGATAGACCATCAGGTGTGACATTTCTTATTTGTGATGTAAGTAACTGATCTCACAAACTAAAGTATGGTGATACTTAAATGAACACGTGGATGTTTTGTTATAGAACAAAACATTGAAGACCCGTTGAGAGATTCCACATGGATAACCATTTGAATTTCAGTGGTTAATCTCTAACGTTTAGTAGTGGGATTGGTCCTTTGAATTGAAGTCATCATAGTACCTTATATGAGGATAATCATGTTTTGACGATGTTGGATGTTGCTCTGCCAAGGCCGCTAATACGGCGCCGTTCGGGTATGTCAAGAATCGTATGAAGGTTGTGAATAATCAATAGAGCATTCCTCACTCTTAGTTATTAAGAAATTATGATCTACATTTCATTCAATTATGTCGATAACGAAATCATTTGGCAAGATATACTCATAAGTCGAAAAGTAGTTTTCAACTTATATTGACTTAATAGTTGAATGGAAGATATGATCAATAATCGAGATTGACACACTTTCATATCTCGTAATTGATCGGATCGTATTAACGAAGAGATTATAGTTTCACAGTAAACTAACAAGTTTGGTTTTGTCATACCACGTGACATTTTTCGTCACATTTATTGCCTTGACACATTACTAGATGTCGATCTGGGACAGCGAGTGTGAATTGGTAATAAATTAAAAAGATGTTTTAATTTATCAATTTTGATTAGATCAAAATAATATTTCACGTTGTTAGGTATCGTGGTCGGGGAACTGATGGGTCGTACACAAAAGGAGAACTGGAAGATTATGATTTGTCAATTAATTAATTTAACAAATGTTGGATAAATTAATTAATTGGGTTATTTATTTATAGGCCCGAATTAATTCACGAACCAAATTTAATTAAATGAGTTAATTAAATATTGGATCGGATCAGGCCAAACCCATTTGGACTTATATAAATATGACTAGGGTTTTCCAAATCTATAGAGAAAATTCATTCTTCTTACTAACACAAGAAAGAAAATCCTAATACTACAATCATGTTCTCTGTGTGGATCACCGTTGGAGGTTGGACAATTAGATAGATGGATGGTAGATCAAGGCTACTAAAACAAGGGAAAAGCATAGGAGTTTGCAGATTTCGAAAAGGTACAATTTTATCACAATTTTTATCTAAACACAAAGATAAATTCTGGTAGGAATTGAAAACTGTTTTATTTTCTGCTGCGCATGTTAAGTAGATTCTCAACATATGAACCCAGAAAATTCTTCTAGAAGTCGGTGGTGACATTTTTAGTTCTCCTCTTCAACACCGATTTTTCATTTTAATTCTTTTCTTTTTAGTCACTCCAAACTCTGCCTCAAACTCGATAAGTTTTGAAGCTATCGGTCCTTAACTTAAAACATCTGCGGCTTCAATGCTTTCGCCTTTATTGATTTTCATATTAGAATAATTGATACTTGATTTCTCGTTCTATTCGACTTCTTTATTTGTGATTGTAAATTTGTATGTACCTTTATCTCTTGTAGACCGTGTCGATCGTCACGCCACTTCTGCCAACAATTGCCCACGGGTCTTGCTCTTAGAAATATGAATAGTTCTAATTATTGAGTTTCTTTACTCCTTCTATCCCATGTAGGTCGCTCATCGTGATTGACTTACATCCTCGTAATCAATAAATCTTTATGAAAACTTCACAACCTCCTTTTCGTGCAGAACTCAAGAAGCTCAAAACTTCGTCCTTGATTGTCTAACTCTGATATCAAATTGATGAATTGAAAAACAACAAAATTCATCCATTTATTTAAAGAAATTGGACACTTGTACAATTTTGTTATGTGTTACACACACACACACGCACGTATTTCTTACTTTAATTTTGCAAAGCACTAGACACACAACTTTCTCTCTCTTTTCTTATTATTTTTCTCACCAATATCTCATGCCACTCACTCTCTCTCTCTCTTTCTCATTTTCTCTATTTCTTCTTACTCTCTTCTTCACTATTATATTTTTCTCTTTCATTAGAGGTTGCCATATTACCTTCTCTCAGTCTTTTTTTGAATCGAAAATCTTTGGCATAATAGCCTCGTTTTCCGCATGCAAAATATGAGCAATTATTTCGTTGAAATCTCTTGAATGATTGACCTCTTTTATTGCGACTTTGTTGAGCTCCCCTTATCTCATAGCTTTCTTCACGTTTATTTTTTTTATTTTGTTGACGAAATTGACCTCTTCTTTTATGACCAAATAATGCTTCTTCCTCTTCTTTCTTTATTGAGAATCCTAACATTTATCTAGTCAGCGCTTCTTGTCGACTAGCAAATTCTCGAGACTAACCAATGAAGGTTGCACTGGCCAACATTGTATGGCAACAATAAAACTTCTAAATTTGGGTCTTAGACCACGTATAATTATTCTTCTCATTGGGTACTTTCCTTTCAGGTGATTTCGTTTGGGTTATGTAACATGTAGGGAGCATTTTGATTAAGGGATTAAAGAGGCATGTTTGCTGAGGACACGATTTCATGACATTGTCTTCCTCATTTGTGTCTCATTAAATTATTGACGGAGTTAAATGTCACGCATGATTTCTGTCATCCACGTAGGCAAACAAAGAAGTGAAATCTGTCCGATAAGTGGAGTGCAAAAGCCTAAAGTTGAGTGGTCAGTGTGAAGCATTGTAAAACTCGATAATAATAGCCAAAATTTGGTGGGCAATGAAATATTTAACTAGGGCTGGTATACCAAAAATGGCCATATTTGAAAAAGTTATTGAAATTTTTGCGAAAGGGCGTTTTGGGGATATTCACATTAAAAGTGGTCATATTTGCAAAGGTTTCGAAAGATGGCCATTTTCAAAATGCACTATGAATTATTACCATATATCCGAATCCGCCAAATAGATAAGCACCACGGTTCATGCTTATTTTGCCTTATTTTTCAGTTGACAACAACAAAAAAAACCAAAAAAAAAAACAAAAAAAAAAATGAAAAAAGAAAAACAGTATAATATCTTGAAGTTATAACATTCAACCATATTAATGTTGATGGCTCTTTAATAATGCATGAAATTTCATAAAAAACTTTAGTTATGGGAGAGGAGTGTCGTAAGTTATATTGGCACTAGAAACTTGCAGTCGTACCAAATTCTACATTGAAATGCACTTGACCTTATAACAACACAATTAAAATTAATTTCAGAGTGCACATTCTTGTTCTTCTCTCTTCCTCTTATTGCTTGATCTGAAATTGATGTTTATCCTTGACTTCTTAAAGAGAAAGAGATCAAGTTGACAGGCATGGAATTTTTCCCACTCCAACTTTAGCACGGTTATTGGACTTGCAGGGGTACTGTAATTTGCATTTTGGGACTCTAATTTATTGCTGTAATTCGTCATTATTTCTTTTTCCATCCAGCTTTGGCATTTTATCACTTCTTTCTAGAACAAGAACATTAACCAAGTCATATTGCATATTATCTTGCCGAAAATATAGTAAAGAAAAAGAACAGCAGATATTAAAAGCGAAAAAAAAAATTTTTTTTACCCTTCGATCTTGGGAAATAAATGCGTCAAAATGTTCTGTGGATGTATTATACGTTGATGGAACCAGATCATTTTCAAGAATGCATTTTATTGCAGACATGGCAATAACACACGGCCGAAACTCCAAGAATTTAGAATCTGAAGAATTTTACATGCAGACAAATTCAATTAAATGGGAGTTAACGAGCCCTTCGTGTATAAGATGTTGCAAATTAATTTAACCTACCTAAAAGGGTATTAAGAAGCAGTTGAGTGACGCGTGCAGTTAGATTATCTACGAGGGTTTTGTTTAAGGTATCGATGGTGCGTATCAACAATTCTATGTAAGAATATGGAGTCGGGGAAAAAAAAAGAAAAAGAAAAAAAAGGTAGAAGCATCCCTTACTTGGCAATGAATTATTGAAATAAATCGGTCCATGTAACTCACAGCACAAAAAACAGTTCCAAAAGAGAGATCCAATCGCTTATGAGACTTCAAAAAATAAAAACGAAAGATAAAAATTCAGGATATTATTCAACATGCTGGTAAAAATATATTTAAAAAATTGATTACCTCAATAAGCCAGCAAACCCCCTTAAACCTAGCTTGATCAATCGAGTTATCAGACTTAATATGACTCGCATATCCCGGTTTTGGCACGTAACTGGCTTCCTTATCCAGAAAAATCCCAATAGCATTCTCAAAATCTTCTTTGGTTGAGTATAAACAACTAGTTGTATAATTGCTCCTTCTTACATTATGGTACTTATCATTGGCACGTACTTTATCATGCACAGTGACTGGTGCAGGGCTCATAAACCACACCTCGTTGCACAGAAGACTTCCCATTCTCGGTAGAAAATGCAATTGACAAATTATCAAGTATTACTTTTTTTATTGCACTTAAAAAGTGGGTAGTGGGAACATGGGAGGGAGAGGTTAAATAGTTGATGCTGGTGGAGTGGTGAAGAAGTTGGATCATGAGATATAAAAAAGAGGACACGCCCCTCATGACAAGGGTAAATGCTGAATTCTGATATTTTATTTTTTTTGAGGTATTTTTGTCTGCAGTAACAAGTTGTGTGATTACACGAGGATAGTCCTTGTTCTTGTTCAATTTAATGCGGTATGAATATGGCCAACCAGGATAAATTATTATCTTGCTTCAAGTATTTAGTGCTGAGAATGTAGTAACTAACCAAACCAAACCACATTTTCATATTTTCCAGCCTTGCAAATTTCATTTTATTTTCTATTTTTTGGTGGACGCGTACAATGCAGTAGACGCGTATGGTTATTATGTGCTTCAAGTGGATTATACTATCTATTTGAAGTGGCAAGTCGGGTTCGATTATGTTGAGAGAGGGGAGAAATGAAATTAATCTCAAAATTACCTAATAACATTAGCAAACTTATTTCAACCCTCGGTTTAATTAGTTAAAAGTTGGAATTTCTACCATGGAATTGTGTTGATCCAAAAAGTGAGATGAAGAGAATGGATATTGGTGAAAAGTTCCCTATACATGGATTCAGTTGAACGAAATTTTGGAAGAATAGTAGAGAGTTAATTGAATAATTTTGGATTGAAAGTTGATAACTCTAGATAGTTTTTCTTCGAACAATCTTGATTTCTAGCTAATATCTGGGTGGTGGTCTTGATATCTATCTAATTTTGGAAGTTTATGCAGAACTAGCCAAGATTCAATTACCAAAACACAATTTATTTATTTATTTATTTATTCATTTTTATTTTTATTTTTTTTGCTTTAAGGCCAATTTTATTTTATTTTTGCTGTTGTCAAAAATTTTCTAGTATACAAAGTTGGTGCACGAATCTAATAGCTTTCAAGAGAAGTTTTGTGCGTACAACACGTCTTCAACCAATGTTTAACACATAACAAGGTCTAAATCATTTTGCTAAAGAAAGGAGCAGCAAACAAGAGATATTAATATGGATAATCATGCTATAGTGCCAAATGTCTTGATGTAATCTTTGACATAATATCACCTTATATCCTATTATTGAACACTTTTAAATCACAGTCAACTTTTTCGTCTAATTATTTATTGTTACATACACATTTGTCAACTTATCTGTATTTTTCCTTTTAGCAAAGTAGATTAATCCTAATATGGAACACTCTTAATCACAGGAAAGTCAAGATTGTTGGAGTTGACCTGGTTGATGAAATTTGTAACTATCCAGTTCAACTCTTGATACAAGAATCTTGCACATGAAGGTAATGTGCTTGTATTATGCTATTTGTACAAAGTGTATTTACAAATTTGGTTGACAAAAAAGTGTTAGCAAAATCCAGTCCATTGATTTTCAGTGATTTAAAAATCTATTTTTGAAATGATTGCTGTAGACATTACTTTGTCAACTTTGTACATTTTGCATAACTCAATGTGCTTTCATCTTCTTGGTTGAAAATTATATTATTTCATCCAAAATTGTATCAATATTATTTACAAAATCTGCCTAGGAAAATTGTAGTATTGACTTCACATCATTGAAGAATAAATAATCTTGGTTAATAATTTCCATTAAAGATGTGTTGCTTCCGTAAAACCTTGATTTTTTGTTTTGTATTTTGTTTTTTGTTTTTTTTTTGTTTTTTTAAAATGGGAGTATTGGAGTCGAACCCTGTTCTCCTCAATTTAATGCTTTCAGAATTTGATTTGTGATAAAACCGTGTTTTTATCAAACACGATTTAATAAGTGTTGACACTTTACTGGATGGCCAACACGTGGACTATCTCTGGACGTTGGATTAAACCGGTTCATATGCCCTTTGTTAAAACGAATGGAGCCTTCTGGAACGTCATAACCAACCCTTCATCTTGCTCTCGACTCTAGGGTTTTCAAATATTGGCGATTTGAGAGATATTGATTTTCTTTGAGTGTTTCTTGTGTAAAATCTCTGATTTTACATAGAGTATAGTGAGATCTTCTTTCGATTGTTGTATTCTGTGTGAATGGTGAAGAAATATGAGTGATTTCTCTGTTGTATCATTTTGGCAGTGTTCAAAGGTTTTGAGGGCTGAGATCTGAGTGAATCTCTATAGATCCGTTGCTATACTTGAGAGATAAGTCTCATTTTCATCTCTCTGAAAAATCTATAAATCTGTTGTCATTTTTGGCTGTTTAGTGCAATCGAGCATAATCCAAATTTTAGATGCTTAACGGGGGATGTAGGCGTTAGATGTGGTAGCCGAACCTCCGGGGTTTAGACCGAAATAATTCCATTGTGTTCCTTTAATTTTCAGCAATTTATTTCTGTTCGATTGAGGTTTTCTTGTTTCTTAATTTTAATATCGTGTGGTCCTGCCTTTACAGTGGTATCAGAGCCATGTCCAAAGGAACAAGATACCTCGATCTTAGAGAAACTGGTGGACCTACAACGGTCTTGAATTTTTGGAACTACTGAAAAAGTAGATTGAGAACAATACGAGTTATTCAACTCGCTCGATGAGATCCTTTTTAATTTTCTGTAAATTAACTTTCAGAAACTTGAGTTTCCTAAATTTTCCCTTGATTTTTCGGTGCACCGTTGAAACCCCCTTGAGACAAATCTTTGTCCAGTGGCTCCTGCGAGGCCCTTGGAATCTGAGATAAATCAAGTACGGGTGTGCACTTGGAGAATCTTGTTGGAGAGAACTGTGAAACCTTGCATTCAATCTCTGTGATTGTTGTCTGTTAATTGATCTTGCCTGTTTTCTTCTAATATTGCGAGAATTGTGAGACTTTGTATTACTGTGTGTTCTACTGTATTTCAAACTTGATACAAATTGGCATTTCTTGACTTCCTGTTTAAACTACTGTAAGTCCAAATTGATCTTGCATGAAAATTTGTTTACACTATGGCTACTGCTAAATTTGAAGTTAGATGGTAAAATTGATTTTGATATGTGGAGTCAGAAAATGAGAGCAATTATGATGCAAATGAAATGTGCCAAGTCTTTAGATGATTCATGGCCTGAGGGCTTAGCTCCTACTAAGAAATCTGAACTTGAGGAAATTGCTTGGAGTATCATATTTTTGTATTTGTCTAATAATGTGATCAGAGAGGTAGGTGAAACTACTACTGCCTCTGATCTTTAGGCCAAACTTAAGGCTAAGTATGAGACCAAAACCACTCCAAATAAATGTTTTCTTTTAAACAATTCTTCTCCTTTAAAATGGATCCTGCAGTTGACTTAGAAGAGAATCTTAGTAGGGTCACAAAACCTACCCAAGTCTAGTCGTGATGAAAAACTTTCAAAAGATCAATTGGCTGTAGTTTTGTTAAACTCCATAAGTGACAAGTACAAGGACATTAAAGTTGCCCTTGAATATGGTAGGGATGAACTCACTGTTGATGATATAACCAATGCTTTGAGGAATAAAGCTTTAGAAATCAAGGCTGAGTCAAGTAACAGTCACACTGGAACTAGTTTTTTAAATAAAGAAAAATCTTTTGAAAAACCTATACAAAATTTTAAGTTTTCAAAAGCAAATAGGAGATGGGTTGACAGAAGTAAGACCAAGAATAATGCAAAAGGTAAAAAAATGTTATTATTGTGGTAAACTTGGTCATTTTGCAAAAGATTGTTTTAAAGAGAAAAATGATTCAAAAGAAAAGGGTCTTGATGGAAGCAATGCACTGGCCTATGATAAAATTAAAGTAGAAAATGGTTTTGTGTTAGTAAGTGCTGAAAATGCCTAAATGATGAATGGATACTTGATTCAGAATATTCTTTTCATATGTGCCCCAACAAAAATTATTTTATAAATTTAGAAAGAACCAAAGGGGGACAGGTTATAATGGGCAACAACTTTGCATGTAAAGTGAGTGAAATTGGGACCGTCAAATTATTATTAGAAAATGGTAATGTTTTGTTCCTAGAGAACACAAGACATGTCCCAGATTTGAAAATGAACTTAGTGTCCTTATGAATGTTAGATGACAAGGAGTTTAACATAATTATGGGTCAAGGACATATAAAAATTCTTAGGGGAAATGACTTGGTCACTTCAGTCCCTAAGAGACATGGTCTTTATTGTCTGAATGCAAAACCTTTGCTTAGATTAACTGCTTCTGTTGTATCTGAAAAATTTACTTTGGCAAAACTGTGGCATGAAAGGCTTGGTCATATTGGTAAAAGGGTTTAAATATTTTGCAATCAAAAGGTGTTTTTGGAAAACATAATCTTGGTGATTTTGGCTCCTGTGAACACTGTATTTTGGGAAAGCAAGCCAAACTTCCTTTTCAAAGTGGAATTCATAAATCCAAACAAAGATTTGAGTACTTGCATGCGGATCTGTGGGGTCCTGCTTCTGTCTCTACTTTAACTGGTTTTAAATATTTTTTGCTAATGGTTGATGATTTCTCAAGGAAAATTTGGGTTCATCTACTAAAGTCTAAAGATGAGACATTTTTTGCTTTTAAGGACTGGAAAATTCAAGTTGAAAATCAGGTTGATCTTAAAATAAAATATTTAAGAAATGATAATGGCTTTGAATTTTGCAATTCTGAATTTGATGATCTTTATAAGGAATATGGCATCATGAGACACAATATTGTTCCACACACACGACAACAAAATGGAATGGCTGAAAGAATGAATAGAACCGTGTTGAATAAAGTTAGATGAATGCTATTAAGCTCTGGACTGCCTAAATTATTTTGGGGTGAAGCAGTTAAAACTGCAACTTATTTGATTAATAGGAATCCTACTAGTGCACTAAACTTTACTGTTCCTGAATATGTGTGATCAAATAGTCCTGTAAACTACTCTTATCTGAAAATATTTGGCTGTGCTGCTTATGCTCATAAAAATATTGGTAAATTAGAACCAAGATCATT